ACACCTAGGCCACTATCGGGCCTGTTGTGCGCTCCAATTCAAGAAAGACAAAAAAAAATTGTTCACTGAATGTATTATTTTTCCATGTTCAGAAACTCCTAAGAATCTTCCAATCGGTGTTGGTTAAGAATGTTATTTCCGGAATAACATCACTTCCAAGATACTTGGATCTAACTTCGACGAATGCCTGACAATGGCAAAGAAAGTGCTCCAGAGTTTCACTGTCCTCTCCACATGCTCTACATTCGTCTGAATCCGCACGTCCAATTTTGTATAGGTGTGCTCGTAATCCTGTGTGTCCACTCAGAATACGTACCATCATACCATCAGACTTGCTCATTTTGAGAAGATTTCTCGTCTTGCTCTCATCAGGGTCACCCCATAGAATATTTGTGGTTCTACCCACCGTTTCATTATTCCAAGAGGCCTTATGGGATTCTCTCATCCATATTTTTAATTCAGCTTTTGTTGCGTCGAATGGTTTTGCGTTTGTCAGGTTAACTACATCGAGCTCCCTTCCCTTTAAAGCTATTACATTCGCCCTTTCGTTGCCGACTACTCCCGAGTGGCCTGGTACCCATATGATATGAACCTTACCTCTGGGAGAGTATTCAGTTAAGCTTTCTTACAATCCAATACGGTCTTAGATTTAATTCTATCACCTGATATCGCACAAATTGCCTTCTGGCTGTCGGTAAATATATTAAGCCCTGTGGGCGCCATATTTATTCTAATCCAATTTACACATTCCGTTATTGCTCGTACTTCTGCCTGGAAGCTTGTGTTATGATTAGGTAAACGGTGGTATATTTCTGTTTCTGGGTCTTCAATATAGAACCCCAGGCCCACTTTGTCCCCTAATTTAGAGCCATCCATCCATCCAGTCCACCAGATTATTGAAGCATAAGCTAGAATTGGTCTAATTACACTTTTATAAAGCCAATTTGTCATAGTAGGACTAAGACCCCATTTCATGCCTATAGTTCTCCTACATATCGCCCAGCACCGATGTGCCTTGTTGATCCTATCTTCTATGTGGTGTCTCCATTTCAATTTCCGGTCAAGTATTACACCTAAGTACTTAACTTTGTCACCGGTATCTTCTTGCCCAGGAAGCAAGGTTCAGTATATGTAGAAATTTTTGTCTTTCTTGTGAAAAGACAGATTTCCTTTTTTGCCGGGTTAACATTGAGGCCTCTCGGTTGAGCCCAGCTCAAGGCCGTATTCAGAGCCTCCTCAGCTCTTCTACACAAGTAATTTGGATCCTTTCCCTTTAAAAGTATTACGACATCGTCTGCATAGCAGACAGGTCTAAGTCCTTTCTCGGTTAGGGTCCTTAGGAGGCTATTAATCGTGGTAACCCAGAGTAAAGGTGACAAAATGCCACCCTGTGGTATACCGCGAAATACCTTTTTCCTGATAGTTATATCGTACATCTCGCAGCTTATCCATCTGTTCCTTAGCATGTAGTTGATACAGTTACGGAGCACCCGGTCAACATAAAACTGGTCTAGGGATTGTTTAAGGGTATCAGTGTGCACGTTATTGAAAGCGCCTTCGATGTCAATGCATACCGCCAGTGTATACAGTTTGCTATCGAAAGATTCACCTATGTAGTGGACAACTTCATTTAAAGCGGTTTCCACCGATCGTCCCTTTACATAAGCGTGCTGCTTATATTTAAGGTCTTTGTATGGTATGCTGCTTTTAACCATGCTATCGGCTATCCGTTCCAAGGTTTTAAGTAGGAAGGACGTAAGACTTATCGGTCGATAGGACTTAGGTGTCGCATAGCTAGGTTTCCCTGGTTTGGGTATAAATATTACTCTTGCATGCTGCCATTTAACTGGGGTATATGCCAATTTTAAGCATGCAGTGAATATCTGTGACAGATGTACGGAAACCAGTCCCGCCTCCATCTGCAAAAGTGCCGGGAAAATTGCATCAGGCCCTGCAGCTTTATAGGGAGCAAAGCTCTTGATTGCCCCTTTAACCATGTCAGTTGTAATAACTATTTCCGTGTTACCCTCCCCTTCCTCCAATATCGGTTCATCTATGTTATTCGATATACCGGGTGGGAAATGAGAATCCATTAGGAGTTTCATTGTCTCCTCCATATCCTCAAGCCTCCTGCCCGTGTCATCGATCATAGATTCCGGTTGGACATGAGTTTTGGATAGGAATTTTTTTATCTTCGATACGTCATTTACGCTATCTACCTGTTCACAGAAAAGTTTCCAGGAGTCTCGTTTGGCTTTTCGAACGATTTTCTTATATTCACTAAGTTTATTACGATACTCATCCCAGTATACTGCGGTCTTTTTACGCCGTGCCCGGTTAAATAGTTTGCGAAGAGTCTTCCCAAGGTTCCGGATCTCCCCAGTTACCCAGGGTTTTTCCTGAGCAGATCTCCGCTCTCGCAGAGGGCAGCTGTCCTCGAACGATTCAACCAGGGCACTTGTGGACGTTTCCACTTTGGCATCTATATCCTCTTTATTTCGACATTGAAAAGTGTCCTGACCTAAACGGTTCTTTAGTAAGGTCCCGAACATTGTCCAATTAGTTTTAGACTTGGTTCGAGTTGGCATCACAACCTATTACAATTTTCTTATTTTTTCTTTTTGCCTCTTCAACCAGTTTCATCAGATCCGACGTTGGTGGTAGTGTCGGAGAATCGAAAGGCAGGTAAATAGATGCAAGGAATATGTTGCCATCCTGTTGAGAGGAGAAAACATAAGTTCTTGTGACATAAGATACAAGTTCTCGGGCGAGATCCTGTATCAGCGTAGAAAAGTTGGAAATTTACGTGATTTAAATATGGAAACAGATTAGTAGATAATGAACTTTTTTTGCAATTTTTCGTGAATTTCGTAGAAAAAAAGTAAAAATTTAAAAAATTTCCGTCATGTACAAGTTCATACATTTTATGAACTTTTAATATTCTGAATGAAAATGGTTTGGGAAAAAAAGTCATGTTCGATTCGTCCAAAACTGCTGTCAATACAGGACGACAGAGAAATACTGAGGAAATACCGAAGGAACCTTCATCTATCAGCTCCAAAAATTAGCAACGAACTCAGGACAGTCCTGTGAATAAAAATTAGTGTCGAAATTGTGCGCAAAGTACTAGGGAGCAATAATTTGCATGGTCAAGTACAAAGGTGGAAACCGCTCATATCGAAGTTAATCGATGTTAAGTGTCTTGACTCCGCAAATAGACTCATAAGTAAGATTATTGGATTCTGGATGGAGGTTATCTTCGACGATTAGAACAAATATAATATTTTTGGCTCAGATGGTAGTCAAAAGATATGGCGAAAGCTTGGAGATGCCTTGGAATTATCTAACTTAAAACCAACTGTAAAGGACCCAAGTTGCTCTGCCATATTGGACCGCTAAAATTTATTATTGTAATTATAGACTAGAAGGTCCACTTGTCAATTTTAGAGCAGAGTTTGCATGCTAGTACCACCAAAATGGGGCTACAACCCATTCAATTTATTTTTTAACAGAAAAACGATCTAAAATACACGACCTGGTACGTGAAAATGTTGATCATTTACAACACGAAGTATCTTCTTTCACCAAATTTTCAATGGAGTTAATGTCTGGACTTAAACTCCATTGAAAATTTGTGGTTATATTTACAAGAACAACTTTTAAATCACTCATTATCCTCTAAAACCACAATACGGTTGCTTTGAATGAAGAATGGGACATAATAACGCTTTGAATGAAGAATGGGACATAATAACGCCAAAACTATTCCATAAATTGGTAGAAACGGTCCCACGAAGCTTGAAAGTTGTTTTTAAAAACAAAGGCTACTATACAAAACATTAATTTCATTTTAATTATTTATTTTTACTTCATAATGCTAATCTAAATATGATTTATACAAAAAATTCGAATACTTTTGTGAAGCTATTTTTTGCACTTTTTTTAAAAAAAAGTTAAATCAGTTTAAGTAAATTATTATTTTTTTTAATATTTAAAATGTGGTGTAAAATTTAAGGACTGTCTGGACAACATAATAAATTTATTTATTTATTTTTCCCACAAAATCTATTATAAAATGATGTCTGTTTTCATAATACATTAAATTCGAATACTTATGAGAGACACTGTATGTATATTTCAGATTCATCTTTTGACTGCGTATATAATAACGCCTATCCTGGGAAAGTAATTTTACTGCGATGGGGAGATCGAAAACACATACCAACAAAAATAGTAAGGAACGGTGTTCTGAGCATAATTTCTTATTGATTTAGTTTCCAGCTCAATGTTCCAAACTCAATCCAATTGAGAATTTGTGGTAAACCCTGAAGGAGCGGTTGAAACAATATCGATTAACTCCTATCAATTTGAGCGAACTTTAGCAGTGGATTGAGCACGAGAGGGAGAGTATTCTAAATAAAGTAAATGAAAAATTGGTAGAAAATATGTCAAAATGTGCAAAAATTTATAAAAGTAATAAAGGATTTTGAAGAATATATTAAAAATGCGATTTTTCCCAAAGTTTTTTGGGTACATGCGAGTTATTTTAGTTTTGTCTGTTTTTTACGTAGAATTTGATGCTTATTGATTTGAATGGAAATTCATTTTGTTACATATTAAACATAAAATAAATGACAGAAAAATTTTTCGGATTTATTTTTTATTCCATCAAAAAGTATAAAAAGTACCAACATGTGCTCATTTATGCTCCCCACTGTAGAATTACAAACTCATAGCTGGTGCTGGGTATTAAAATAGTCGGACATAACCGAGTATATTGATTGTTTTTATGTTTGCTACCAATGTTACATTATTTTTAATAAATGAATTAAATCAACAAAATAAAAGCACCTAAAATAAAGAATTTGCTTTTTATACCAATATTATTTCACTGTTTAATTGATTCATGGACGCAATTGAACAATTGTCCTTTAATTATAATACAATGAAAAGCAAGCACAATTTTTGTCAGAAAATTTTAAAAAATGCAAAATACCTACCTATGTAGGTATATGCAATTTATGCATTTATAACAAAATATGCAAATATATGCATCGATGACATTTTGTAGCAAATTCTTTGATTCCAAAAGTTAATTGTTAAACATTATTTTCAGTTACTAACCACAATCTTTCATATGCATAGGAATTAGCCCTGCCAAGAATAATTTGGGTAATATTAAATCCAAACAAATTATACGAAACAGTAAAAAGTATGCTGCAAAGAAAAATTTAGAAACTTAAGCTATGTTCACACCTATCAAATATTTGACGAAATACGTGACCCCTAAAAAATCGACATTTTGATTTCCTTTAAATAAATATTGATTTGCACAAACGCAGTATATTTTGACGATATCAGTTTAGAACTTCTTTATTATTAGTTTCGATATTATTTGAAATTACAAAAATCATGTAAAATCAAAAATAAATTTACAAAATATAGTGGTTAAATCTTTTCGTCAAATATTTGATAGGTGCAAACGTACCTTTACCGTACGACTATGGCTTTTAACAATTGTATATAATGTTTACCAAATGTTGACATTAATTTCGTGCACTACATAAATACTAATAACATAACAATATACCAGATTTTTGGTTACACAAATTGCTGATTTATCACTTCATATAGCCTAACTATTCGATAGACAAAAATTATACAATATTTCATTAAACATTTTAACAATTTTAAAAGTTATTAATGTATGTCTCTGTTATGTTTTAGACACTACAATATCAGTGTTGAAGAAAATATTCAAACGGCGTACAAAAAAAACTTTGGTGACGGGTAAACGCATAAAACATAGTGGTAAGGCGAATTGACATAAGGTGCTTGAAGTTCGTTAACAACAAAATGTTTTCATATTTTTTATTTTAGCATTGTGTACGTACTGATGCCAAAAACATAAAAATACTAAAATTTGTGAAGAAAATATGAGCAAATCAAAAAATTATCGAAATAACATTACCGAAATAATCCAAATATCACTACCCTTATATTTTCACTGCTTCGAAACTATTGCCAACCCATATTTTAAAATTACCTGATATACAATATACTTACTAAAATATCGATAGACTTGAATATAGTCTCTATCTAAAATAATACAAGTTTTCAGAAGAGCAAAAAAACTGTTAATTTCGCTAGTTCGTAAAGATTTTTAAATTTTCTTCTACAATATATTTTTACGACCATATTCTAAATCGTTTTATAAAAAAAATTTAAATTTTGCATTATTTGCAAAATTATTCACAAATTTATATCAGATAGAGCTTTTTTTCCACAAAACATTTTTTACAACCATCAGATAGAGAGTTTTTCATAGAAATATAAATTTTTTATTTGATTTAATATCAATAAATATCTTTTTTGCAATATAATGAAGTAATAGAAACCATATTGTTGAAAAAGCAACAGATTATAAGGGTTTGGTCAAAATCAATGTTATATGGTTAAACACGACAATAAAATTATTCAAATTAGTATCATAATGAGTGATATCTCGAAAACTATTAAACCGATTTTTAATATTTTGGCGGATTTGTGTTCAGCATGTCCAAATTAGTAAAAAACACTTGTTTTGCAACAGAAAATTATCAAAAATAATACAGTTTGAAGCAATCTTTGGATAAGATAGAGAGTTTTGTATTCAGAATTTTTCTCTTTTTAAGAGTGTGTGCCAATCGGTAACAATTTACTTGAAAAAGTAAATTTTTGATAGATATGAGGTGAATAAAATTTTACTAGCTCATCGGGCTACATAAATTTTTGACAATTGAAAAGAAAAATTTGAAAATACAAAAAATAAAATATTTTATAATTTTAGTTTGTAATACATTTGTGATTGTAGAAATTTATTTTAAAAATAATAAAATCAATAAAAGTGTTTCTTTTATTAAAATAAATGCAGATTTTCTTGTGAAATTAGTGACAATTGTCAAAATTTAATGTAATCAAAAAAGATTTCGTTTGGCACAGCAAAAGTGATAATATTTTCCACCATAAGAAAATTTTATTTTACCATAGAACTTTGCTGCCGTTTGGCACACAGTCTAAGAAAGATATATAAAAGTTGTTATAAAATTGCCAAAAAATATTTTTTTTCTTTGAAATTAATATCACTGATGCTGATTTTGCCATCAAAATCTTATTTTTATGAAAATGACAGATAGAGACAATTGAATATAGTCCCTCGATATAATTTTTGTTAAAAAAATTGCATAAATCTAGCGTTCTAATCCAGATGATTTTAAATTATTTGTTTATACCGCATGATAGTACTTTTTATTGTGACTTCAACAAAGAAAAAACTTATCCGCTCTATTAGGTTCGGGAGTTATGGCCCTCCAAAGTTTTGATGTATAATTGGATATATCTCGATTACTGATCAACCGATATTGTATCATCGATATGGGTATTATTGGATAGGTCTCTAAAAGAGCTTTCCATTGATGTCTAACATGACATATATCATTAACCCATTGAGTGCCAGGGTCAAATTGTATGTTTTTTCTCTTGACTTTTTTACAAAATTACCGTTATCTCTAAAATATATCGATAAAATGGTACCTCATCTCACATGAAATTTTGTAGATAACATTTGGGGCTTTCCTATTATATATATTTCAAAGCTATAACCCATGAAATGCAGAAGTTTTTAAGTTTAAAAGTAACTATTTTCGTAAATATCGGTTTTTATCAAAGGTAATTATGCAGATCAACTGCTTATTAACCGATATGAGCAAATTGGGAATCAACGGAAAGGTCTTTAAAATACATTTCAATTGATGTAATATGGCATATATCATTAACCCATTGAAAGCCAGTCATATTTTATGTTTTTTCTTTTGACTTTACATACATACATAAAAAAATCGCGCGATTTTTATAACCTTCACCTTCGTGAGAAGGGAATATATAAGTTTGTCATTCCGTTTGTAATTTCCAAAATATAATTTTCCGGCCCCATAAAGTATATATTCTGAATCCTTATAGATAGCGGAGTCGATTAAGCCATGTCCGTCTGTCTGTCTGTTGAAATCAGTTTTCTGAAGACCCCAGATATCTTCGGGATCCAAATCTTCAATAATTCTATCAGACATGCTTTCGAGAAGTTTCCTATTTAAAATCAGCAAAATCCGTTCATAAACAACGGAGATATAAGCAAAAATCCGAGACAACCTCTGAAAATTTCATAAAAAATAAACAACAACAACACTGCTTATTCATTGCCTTTGTATTTTGTTTCTGTTTTTTTGAGTATTTCGTTTCGTATGTTTGGATGGCTGTGTGTTTCATTGCCTTGTGTATATTGTTTTTGTTTCTTGGTACATTCAATTTCGTATGTTTGGATGGCTGTGTGTTTCATTACCTTGTTTATATTGTTTTTGTTTTCTTGGTGTATTGAATTTCGTATGTTTGGATGTCTGTTGGTTTCATTGCGTTGTGTATTTTGTTTTTGTTTTTTTCTGTATTTCGTTTCGTATGTTTGGATGTCTGTTGGTTTTACTGCCTTTTTTGTGTGTTTATTTCGTTTAGCGTTGTTGTTGTTCATTATGTTTTGCTATTGCTATAATAATGATATAGTCGGGAAAATGAATTTTTAAATACACTATGGTGAAGGATATATAAGATTCGGCACAGCCGAATATAGCACTCTTACTTGTTTTTAAATTATTTTTCGCCAGCGGCGCTATTCAATCATTTCACCAATTCAATCATTTCACCAAAAACTGAAAAATAATTTAAAAAAAAAATCGGGCGATTTCTTTTAATTTTTTTCAATAATTTTACCACATTTTTTTAATAATTCATGTCACCTAAAAATATGTAAGACGAGGTACCATTATATCGATATGTTTTAGAGATAACGGTACTTTTGCAAAAAACTTAAACCTGGAATCTGGTAATCCTAGACACAAAACGTTGGAACTGTGCAGTGTACACTAAACAGGTATATGCAATCGAACAGCTGATAATTTTTTTGTTTTCTTATTTGCATACCTTCTCTGTCAAAATATGTTTTTGTTTATTTGAAACAAAATAAAATTTTAATAATAAAAAAATTTAAAATGTTTAGTTTGTAAAAAAATAATATTGTTTGCACAAAATATACATTTCAACCATCTTCCGCATTGCGCCCTTTCTGAGATCCGCTGTCTTTAGCCAAACTTCATCCGTTTAGAATAGAACTTTAATGGCACAAATCAGGTCATTCCAGATATCAACTATCCCCCGTATTGCGCACGTTGAGAAGGCTGTTGTCTTTAGCCACACTTTGGTAGCCACAACACAACTTTATTGGCACAAATCAGGCCAATTCAGATATCAACAATCTTTAGTATTGCGCCCGTTTTCGCCCACTTTCGTTTGCCAAACTTTTGTAGCTAAAGATACAAATTTCGTGGCACAAATCAAGTTATTCCAAAATCTTGCTTTTGTCAGGTCCTCTGCCAATTCCTCTGTAACATTTACCAATAGCATCCACCTTAATATAAGTATATAAACATGCATATCCCTTAAAATTCCATTTAAAATCACTGCATGTTTTTTGAAATAAAATTAAGAATTTTTTTAAAAGACAAACATCAAAAAATATTTTAATTTATTTTGACATTGAGCTCATACAATTACAAAAACAAAATACATGTTGTTTTTGTATTGTTGTAGTGATGCATATACCTGTTTAGTGTACCCTGGAACTGTGTAGGGTTCTATAAATCGACTTTAAAAATCAATGAATCGACTTTGTTGGGCAAAAAGTCGAATTCCGACTTTTCGACTTTTTCCGACAAAAAGTCGATTCTTCGATATATAGAACCCTACACTGGGGAAAAGTCTAAAGTCGAAAAGTTAGGAAGAAGTCGAAAAATCGAAAAAAGTTGAAATGTCGGTAAAAGTCGGAAAAATTGGAAATGTCGAAAAATCGAAAATTTTAGGCTATTTTCCAACAGTTTTAATTAAATTAAATAATATTTTATTTAACTAAAAAAGATTTCAAAACATTTCAAAATTCTTCGTACTTTTGCTATAACACCGTGCAACAGTCATTTTCACACATGAACAAATTTATGTGTACATGAAACTGGGGACCTTTATCATAATCAGCTCGTATGCCCCTGTAAAAGGATCTCAAAATTTAAAGGACATACGATTTCAAAAGGTAGGTTAGTTTCTACGTAAGAACGTAGCAGCTGTTTTTAAGATTAAGCAAAAAAAAAACAACTATTGTTTCTAAAATCAGAGTTGATTTTCTTTCTTTGTGTTTAAAGATTAAGTAATATAAATTAATTAATATTGTTATATAATTATTATATACATAATTAATATAATCATAAAAAGTAAAAATTTGTATTTTCTTTCTTGGTCTTTTTTTTTGTCTTATGGCATGTTGAAAGTAATGTCAACTTTTATATTTTCTTTGACATATTTCAGAGCTTTTTCTCTCTTACTTTTTCATTTTCGATTTTTTTTTATTTTTAAAATTAAACTTAATTTTAAACTTAAATATTTATTATTTAAGACGCACATTAATTTATATGTTTAATTTTAAAGTATTTCAATTGATCGTAATAATTAAAATTTTCTAATGAATATAATTTTTAAAACTTTAACATCACTGTTTTTTTTTCTTGTTTACATTTTTTTGTATTTTATGTCAGCTGTGTATAGCTGTCACTTAACGTTGCGGATTGAATTCTATTTTTTACAGGTTAATCCGCAACGTAACTTCAACGTTACGGCGAAACTAA